TACATACATCTGCGCTTTGTTGTTTATGATGAGAGAATTCGCAAGAGTCCAGAATTCAGTCAGCCAACGCGCACGCACTTAACAAAACTGATGAGTCTGAACGATGACTCATCTGAACGCTTCTGATTGGCCATTGCATTCATAAGCTCAACAGATATGTGTGTGATTGGTTAAAATGCTCAACACTGTAAAAACGCCTAAAATGAAATAGGTTGATCTTAATTTAATGGCGCAATCGACACTGTCTATTCATATTCAATTTGTTAGCAACAGACGTAATAGATTTAATTGCTAAGTGAAAGATTAATTGTGTCGGGAATCTTGCGTGAGTGGGCGGGAGCGGGACTGAAAAATCCGTCCCGCGCAGGTCTCTAGGCTAAGCCTTCCCCAGCCTTACACATGCTCCGCCTATGGCTATAGTATTTAACTTTTCCTGATTCTATCCTGAACTTTGATGATTCTGAAAGAAAACGCACCCGATGTCTGTTTGCTATAGCAACAAACGCTACTTTCATGCATGATTATCAAATAAACCTCGCGCTCTTATTTCAAGGTTGTTGTTAATGCTGTGGTTATTTTAACAGTTTCCTTCGTACATTCGTTTGAACGGCATTGTTTAAACACATTTATCATTCAATGGGACTGTGCGTATGCTTTAGACGCTTACATTTTTGCTCCGTCCATGCAATAAATGCGCAGCCTTCGACTGCTCAGGTAATGTCGTTGGCATGACGAGAGCCATTGAACAACTACAGAAAAGTAAAACTACTTCACTTTAGCATTACTGGCCACGAGTACTAAGGAGAGATCACACAACAGCTGCTCAAAAAATGTGTCAGTGAGACGAACGGAGCGCGAGCGCAATCTTGTGACAGTCACAGGCGGTAAATAGTGCAGCGCGTGAAGGAGAGATGCGAGGGCACGTACACTGTTCAAGGTCTCCATTATTTCATGCTTGTAGTAATTTAATTTGTATACTGTATATATTTTGAAAGCATTGAATCGCTGTAGAAATCGCGATTAATTCGATTCTTAGCGTTTCAAGTCGATTACTGTCTGAAATCGGCGATTCGCGATTCAAAATCCATGTTTCAAGATCGATGCATATGCATCGTCAGGGTTTGTAATCGATGCATCGAGAAAACGAGTGAATCGTTACACCCCTAATGTATATATATATATATATACATACACACACTGTATATACACACACACACACACACACACTTAATCATTTTAAATAAATGATTATATAATATTTAATAATTTATAATTATATAATATTTTAGCATTACAGTATGACACATGAGTTGGTGGGGGTTGCTTAAGTGTCATTAAAGTAATGTCACAATTTAAAAATATATATAAATAATAATCTTACAGATACTTCTCATTTCTTTCTTTTAATTTTGGGCTGAAATGTGACCTAAACATGTTTATGTAGGCGTGACAATCTCCCCATTTTCCCCATTACCCTCTTTCAGCATTTCTCATGTCCCGTAGTTCTCATCTGTCTCTAGTGCTGTACCTGACCGCACTCTCTGTCTTTTTGTCTCTTTCAGAGAGAAAATGGCAGTGTGGATCCAGGCCCAGCAGCTGCAGGGAGATGCTCTACACCAGATGCAGTCTCTCTACGGGCAACACTTCCCCATAGAGGTGCGACACTACCTGTCCCAGTGGATAGAGGGACAACTCTGGTATGTGAAGAGTCTGACCTGTCACTTTGTTATTTTTTTTCCATATATCAGTGTTATTAGGCGTGTCCTTGTGTCCTCTTTCAGGGATGCAATAGATTTAGAGAACCCACAGGAGGAGATTAAAGCCAAGCGTTTATTGGACAGCCTGATCCAGGAACTACAGAAGAAAGCAGAGCATCAAGTGGGAGAGGACGGCTTCTTACTCAAGATTAAATTAGGACATTATGCGTCACAGCTAAAGGTTCTGCTTGTTCTTTGTCTTTGCATACAATTCAGGAAAGTTTTAGTAAAAAATTTTTTAAAAATAAAGCAGTTTTAATGCATCCAAATGCTTGTGCGTAAATGAACTCAGTGAAATAGACTCACGTAGATTCTCTTAAAATATCTCCGTTTATAAAATAAAATTAGAGAATATAGATAAAGCTTAATGAGGCAGTTATTAACATACAGCATATCGGTGCATGATGATAAGGTGCTATTACTAAGAACCGGTCGATCAGGAAAGTGCAGTCTCAGTGTTTACTGTCATTAGTGTTGTGGGGTGTAATTGAGTGTGTTGAAGTAAAACATAGAGTCGATGTTTATTCTGATTGTGTGTGTGTTTTCAGAGCACGTATGACCGCTGTCCCCTGGAGCTGGTGAGATGCATCAAACACATCCTGTACACAGAGCAAAGACTCGTCAGAGAGGCGACTAATGTGAGTGGACACAGAGTAGGCAGATCTATTTCAGACTGTCGGTTCATTAGGGCAGTTTATGTGAAATAAGTTAATTTTTAATGAATTTCATGTCATCTTCCTTTTTTATAATGAAGCACAATTCTAGGTAAATACTGCTTTTTATTACTTTTTAAATGGAGTATATGCAGGGTTCTCACAGTCATGGAAAACCTGGAAATATTAGATAATTTTAAAGTTGTGAATTCTAGCCCTGGAGAAGTCAAATGAATAATTTAAATACACATAAGGTATACATACATATGACCATTCAAAAAGTTGGGGTCGGCAAGATTTGTTATGTTTTTGAAAGAAGTCTCTAATGCTCATCAAAGCTGCATTTATTTGATCCAAAAATACAGTACAAACAGTAATATTGTGAAATATTAGTACAGTTTAAAATAACATTTTAAAATAATATTTTGATTTATTTTAATATAAAATGCATTTCTGTGATGGCAAAGCTGAATTCTCAGCAGTCGTCGGTGTCACATGGTCCTTCAGAAATCATTCTAATATACTGATTTGATGCTTAAGAAACATTTCTTACTATTATTAAAATAGCTGTGCTGTTTCATTTTTTTGGATTCTTTGAGGAATAGAACATTCAAAAGCATTTATTTTGAAACTAATTTTTTTGGTAATAGTGTATTTTTACTGTGATTTTTGGTCAATTTATTGTATGCCTGTTGAATAAAACAATTAATTTCTTATAAATAAAAAAATCTTACTGACCCCACACTTTTGAACTGTAGTCTATATATTGCATTTTTGTTATACTAATAAGTGTAATAGTTAAATAATAATTAGTAACAAATTTGTTAATTCCAAAAATTATCTGATATTGATATTAAAAACTCCCCCGAGATATCTGTAAAATCATCTCATAAATGTATTTTTTCCCCCACAAAATTTCATTGGTCAAAATGTGTGGAAATATTTCACAGACCTTATAATTTAACTCCCAGGGTACTCTCTGCATTTAAAGCTACAGTCCGTAACTTTTTTTGGTTAAAAATTATCCGAAATCAATATTTGAGCAAGTGCATAACCAGCCAGTGTTCAAAACTATCGCCTTACTTTAGCCCGATTCACAACAGTTAGCTTATAATAATGTTTTCTAATTTGAGTGGTACGGGTAGGTTTTGGCAGGAAATTCGAGCATGGCACTGCGTCATTACGTCACGTCTGTAAACATAAAGAAGTTGTCCCGGCTACTAGGCTATCGCCTATGTGAGGATCCTGCAGGTGGAGGATCGTTTATAGCCTTTTCTCACAGCAGCCAGAATAATGAAATATATCATTTTGATGGTGGATTTTAATCCATAAAGGATTATGTGTTTATGAAACACATGTGACTGAAATTAAATTATTCCAGTTTTAAATGTGCTTCTGATTACAGATAGGCTGGGATTACAAAGATTTGTATTTTAAAGAAAACCAGTTCGAA